AAATATATATGCCCAAAATGCCGGGCATTTATGCCTAGGCATATGCCCAGTGGGCATAATGCCTAGTAGGCATTTTCAACCGTAATCCCAACACTCACTCCCCTCTCCTATCAAATCTTATTTCATAGATTCACACAAACTTTCACTCAATTATTATCTCTAAATGTTTATTACACTTAATTGTCGGTCAAATCAGTCAATGTATTCACTAATTATATCCTCCGGTAATCCTTAACTGCGGATAAAATAAGTTTTAAACTGATTTCATATGAATTGTTGAATAAAGTGGACGTAATTGCTGTGAAGAGTGTGAATGCAATGACTGGCACTGAAAGCACATAAACTGGTGTTTGGTTTGTGTTTTTCGTTGAAGTATTGAAAAAGTGATGCTTTTTATGAGTATTAATATTAAATATATTGTGAAACGACTCAACCATTTGTGCTCTGGTTTTGAATTGAATGTGATATCAGTTGCGGATAATTAGATGAATGTCTCATCACGAAGGTATGCATCACTCATGTGGTCTTCGGGGGTGGATGTGATCCATGGATGCGATGATGAGTGCCATCGAGAAGTGCATTGCATTCAAACATTGAGTCCATTGCTATATAGAGTGCAATAGTATTGAGTGATGTTTGCATTTATGGCACAAAATGGCTATCATTTGCTCACAATTACCACTCATTTAATGATAATTGACACACATTTGCACACATTATCACACAATTGAATCACTGCTAACCCAACCATCGATTGCACTCATTGTCCATAACATGGCTATCGATTGATACACCAATTGATCTCATTTTCATATCAATTCAAATTACTATTGATTTTTTAGTCAAATGACATTCAATACCAAAACATTTACTCATTTTTATTGACATTATTTCCAATCAAAACATTATTTAAAACAAATAATTGATTCAAAAAATTGATATAAATTTAGGCAAAAAAACTAGTTTTCTATACATTTATAGCTAATTATTGATTAATGAGTGAAAACATAGTTTACGTAAACATCAGAAACTGATTTATCGCTAATTTTTGCGTTGAATTAAACATTGAATTAAATATTGAATTAATTGATTGCTTGTGTCTGTGATGTCTTCCTCAGGAGTGAGCTGTGATTCGTGCCTTAAGGGCAACTTCAGGGGCAGAAGATTCAAGTGTTTGATTTGCTTCGACTACGACCTCTGCGCCGCCTGTTTCGAGTCGGGCGTCACTTCCACCAGACATACCACCGATCATCCCATGCAATGCATACTTACCAGAAGTGATTTCGGTATGTCTTCACCCAATGCTTATCACCACTATATCGGCCATCCATTCAATGTTTGTTTTCATTCGCAGACATATACTATGGCGGAGAGACGGTGTCTGTGGAACAGCCACAGGCCTACACGTGTCCATTCTGTACGCGAATGGGATTCACTGAAGCCACTCTTCAGGAACACGTGACCTCAGAACACGCCGACACCAACACCGAAGTGGTCTGTCATTGATATAATGACACGTTTCAAACATATGTCTAAAACTTTATTTGTTGTATTCATTGAAAGGTGTGTCCCGTTTGTGCAGCCCTTCCCGGGGGTGAAGCAAATCACGTGACCGACGATTTTGCCACTCATCTGACATTAGAGCACCGAAATCCTCGAGAATTAATATCCTTTTCATACAAATTAATTAACTTTTATTTTAATGACAAATATTTTGAATGTATTTTCCTTTAACTCGGATTTGTTTCGATGATTACGAAGAGCCGCAGACGGCTATTAGGGGTCGACGAGCACCTCATCCGACCAGAGGGTTGAATAGTGTGAGAGCGCGTCGATCGCAGATGCAGTTCAGCTCGAACTCTGGTTTGTCGTCATTGACGTCAAACAATAGGGATTCAATGGATCCGATCGCCGAACTGTTGTCGCAGTTGTCGGGTGTGCGCCGAGCGGCCAATTTGGGTCAATCGCATCCAACGCCTCAATTACAACAGTTGCAAATGCAGTTGCAATTGGACCGGACGTCGTCCACACCATTGCGACAGCCGTTCGATAGGGCGCCCATCGAAAGAGTGATCCGTCGACACCAACAGCAGTCATCTCAACAACAATTGCAGTCAAACTCCTCTCAGTCCGCAGTAAACGGAACTCAACAGCAATTGCCTTATGTTGTGCTAATGGAGCCCAATCCTAGTCCCGCCACCTTAGCCGCGGCCGCCGCTGCTGTCACTCAGACCAATAGTACCGGTAATCAAAATACCACTACAAGTATAGCGACGTCTAAGAGCGCCAACTCTTCACAATTTCTACTTTCGAGGTATTGATTGAAACGATGTCTTGTTTTTGGCCGTATGTCTCATGTGATGTGATCTGATTTCAGGTGTAATGAAGTGGTCTTCTCTGATAGCGAACAACAACTGATTGAAGTGCAAAGAGTAGACCGAAGTCTCTTTGTTCAGGAGCTCTTACTTACGACACTAACCGAGTCCTTGAATTTAGACGAAACGCATCCCAACTCTCGCAGTGATGTACAGTCCTATGAACAGTATGTGAATCACACATACAATGACTTATCAAACGATGATAACGACGAGCGACTAGTGTTGGGCGCAGAGAATGAGAATCATTCAAACGTGAATTGCAATGAAAACGAAAGGCCGACGGCTTTGCATCTGTATAACAGCGCCAAACAACACACAAACCCTAACCAACCGTTGCAAACACAGCAACACTTACAGCAACCGCTTCTACACCGACGACAGCAGAATAAGTCGCGACAGACGTCCGGCTCGCGAGTCAACAGTACGGCCGCCGCCGCCAACACTAACACCAGTCGAAACGTGAACAGAACGGGCGGCACATCTCCTAATGCGTCCACTCGTCGCAAAGTATTGAGAGGACAGCCATCAGAACCGCCACCACATTAGCCAATGGGAGACTTGTCTGCGCTCAACCAAAATCATAAGTTTTGGTCTAAAATATTATTATTATTATATTCTAATAAATTCTATTAAAAAGCAAACTCTGCGCCCGTTTTGTATATAATTAATGAATAACTGTATTAATCGGTGATTCGATACATATTTCAGAAATATTACTGTTATTAAAAGAGGCGGAAAGGCTTTCTATTTATCAAAACCAGGGTTTTATTCTCGTCTTAACTATAAATGTATTGTAATATAAAACAAAACCAAAATATTTAAAAACAATAATACAATTAATACTGAAATATACTGTTTTGGTTGACTTTATTAACTCATTACTGAAAATTGAAAAATTGAATTATTCTTCAGACACCGCATCCAAAGCCTAAAACCAATTTATAAACAATAACTCTGACTTAAAAGTACTTTGACTTCAACTAAATTATCGCTCAAACCATTTGATTAACTAATAATTTAATAATAAAATTAACGAATGAATGAATGAGTGAAAGCAAAACCCAATAATTTTTAGATATTAAAATGGATTGAAATTATTTTATTTATTATTTTGAAAAATTCATTTTATTGAAACGAAATGTTAATGTTTTTAATGAAAAGTGAAAAATATATAGCAATTAATCAAATAAAAAAATGATTAATTTTTTAGTTTTAAAATATAAATAATATCCAAAAAATTTATGAAAATTATATAAATTTGTAAATAAAAAAAATCAAAATCGTTTTGTCGATGCATTCACTTTTATCCTTAAAATCATAAGCAGTTTATGGATCTGTGGATCAAATGAGAGAAAACAAGTCAATGTAAGAGTGATATCAATGCATAGAGACATTAATGCTTAAGACATACATCATTTACTTCAAAGTCGGACGCTTTTGGGACACAAATGTTGATCTGAAAGTCCAATGTCTTCAGTATTTGGCAAATTGTTTCCTTTTGACAGCAAATAAAATAAGTTTTGAAAAAAACTATTTTATAAATGAATTGTTTTTTTTTGCTTACTTTATAGTGAATTAAATCGTTTGGCAAATCCATAGATTGGGAAATAAGTTTGATAATGGCGTGAATATCTTCGCGATTTAATTGCTTCCAATCGATTTGGTTTAATATCAATTGAATCGATTCCAAACTGTAATCCATTTCCAAGTGATTCAACTTTTTGGTCAAAAACGATTCGTTCAGAAAAACAACACAAAATTTTCGCTTTAATTCAAAGTCTGTAATCAATGGATATAATGAGACGATTCTTAAACACATTTCATTGTTTGGCTTATTGTTTGAAATGCAAAATAGCATCAGTTTATCGATAATCTGACTGCCATTCAATTGATTAATGCAAATGTGTTTCTGTAAAACAGTAATCAATTCTTTTAAATCCATAATCCATTCAATATTCGCAATAAGTCTCATATCAAGTGCTAAACAAAACGTAACGACAAATAATTGGATCAATTCCTCTTCGGTGTCGATGTCTCCTATTTTAAGCGAACACTTATTAAACATTTTAACCATGAATTTGATTGCATTCGCCAATTGCTTAAAGAGGCCGTCAGTCATTTGTTTTCCAATTGGATTCACTTCACTGTTGTGTTCATCACTTAATTGTTTCACTTCTGACGATATTTTATGTAATAATTTATAAAAATGGTTGAGAATTACGGATAACATGACTTCAAGACTACTTGTAAACAAAAAATCAATATTTTGAGCATTCATTTGACGGTATTCTTCACTTGAGACCAAACCGATAAAGCGGTCAAATATATGCGAAACAAGCGATTGCTGTTCGCTCTCATCGAGTGTATTGAAAACAACGGGCAATAAATCAATTAAACGATTTAATGGTAATTCATATAAACGTTTCATATTTAGCGACAGATTGTCGTCATTGTTATCGTTGTCACGGTTTGTCTTTTCCCGTAAACATCTCTTTTGGACAATATTAGCGATAAATAGGCCGAAAATGTCGATTCCGTCGATCCGTTTAATGAATGCATTCATTAGAATGTCTTTCTTCGGACTTTCGGTCACTTCTGGAAATTGTTGTGTGATTTCTTCGACGGATGGAATGTCAAGCATTTGTTTATCCACTTGTCTTCGGGTGATGTTCTTATAGAGATAATTCAATTTCCTTTGCTTCTCTTTGTCCACATATTTACCATCATTTTCTTTCGACACGTGTTGAGCGGTCGTTCTTCAGGTTCTGTTCCGCCTCTTTGTGTTCTCTCTCGCGAATAGACTTTGAATTCTTGAGCTTATCGTTCAATTCGTTCACACGTTTTGTCGAATTCTTCTTAATCTCCGCGCAATCCTTAAGAGCTTTCTCTTCGGTTTCAATCGTTTGTCTCAACGCTTCGATCTCTTCCATCAGACTGTGAGCGCTGTTTCCCTGTTGTAGTCTCTGTCGGACCAGTTCTGCTTCGCGTTCCTTCAGTTCAAAGCTTTGTTTAGTTGTCATATAATTCTTGGAGTCTTTGTTTAAATTTTGAAATTCTCTCTCCATTTCAGTCATAGAATGTTTCAATTCCTCAAACATTCTTCGCTTGTCTAAAATCTCTGCCACTTTTGCTAAGAGTTGAGTTCCTTGTGATGTGGAGCCACCGGACAGAACACCCGACGGTTCAATCACTTCTCCATCCAAAGTAACGGCAGTTTTGTGAACTTCATAGACAATCCTTTTGGCGATTTCCATGTCGGGCACAATCATTGTGTCGCCGAAAACATGTTTCATCGCAACGCTAAGACTCGGGTCGTAATCCACATAATTGATAGCGTAGTCCACATTCTCGTGGCCGACAATATTGCGCGCTCTCTTCAGCGCTCTGGGGTCGGCGTCGTAGCCTTGGATGCGATCGAGTGGTATAAGTGTTCGCCTCTCCCGCAACTGTCCCCTATCGAGGATAGCTTTGGCCGATTGGCTGTCTCTCATCACTACATTATACAGTCGTCCGCCGACGGCCTTCTCTAAAGCGTACGCATACTTCGTGTCTCTGACGCGAAAAAGATTGCAAACGACGCCAATAACAGCGCTTCTATCAAAGTTGTGGTGCGGATCCTTATAATCAAACCTAACTCTAGACATCTGGGACTCAGCGCTCGAGATTTCATCCGACAATTTGTCGATTTGACGCTTCGTTTGACCTAAATTTGCTCTCAAATCCGTATGTCTTTGTTCATCAAACCCGAGACCCTCGAGATCTCGTCTCAGTTTCTCGACTTCGCTATTCATTGCATTAATTTCTTTCATATCCTTTTCGTAAGTATTCTTCACTTTCTTCACTTCGGCGTCCTTTTTGTTTAACTCACTTTTTGAGTGTTTTATTTTCATTTCAGCCTTTTTTATGTCCGTCTCTGCGGTTGCGATCTCTTTCTGGGCTGTCATGAGTTGGTCGGCCAAAGTGGCGGACGCTTCTCCTTCCTGTGCCCGAGACTTACCAGCGCTGATGTCTTCGAAGTCTTTCTCAGCCTTTTTCAGGGTTTCCTCTTTGAGTTCATTATCACCTCGAAGTCGATCCAGTTTTTCACTAAACGAATCCAATTGTTTTTGTTTAGAACCCGTTATCTTGCGGTCGCCCTCCAAGTTCTTGCAGAACTGGATCTCTTTCTTCTCTTTCTCTTTCAGTTCATCCGAAGCTATATTCAGTTCTCCCGTGTGTTTCGCTTCCGATAACTGTTCGCTCTTTAGTTTGTCCTCCAATTGACTCAATTTTCCGCCAAACTCTTCGTCTTTTTTCTTTTCCAATGTCTTTATATTGGTTTCAATGTCTTTCGCTTTGGTCTCCGCTTCTGCTATCAATTGTTGGTTACCTTTGATCTCATCGTTCTTCGCCTCAATATTATGGGAAGCCTTTAAACAGTTCTCCTCTTCTTTCAAGAATTGAAAAGCGATGAAAACTTTAGTTAAAGACTCCAATTCGGCGCTAATCTTCTGGAACTCCATTAGACCGGACTGTTCTTTCTTCAACTGATCCAATTTGGGAACAATTGTCTCATTGATAAGAGCGTCGATCACTCTAAGCGCCGAATCTTTCTTTTCGATCATATTCTGTGTCGACTTCTTCTTCAGCTCATACATCGACACTCCGGTCGCCTCTTCGACCATCGATAGGATCTATGAGAGCAACAAATAGTGAACAATTGGCGGCACACTGTGTGGTCAGATGTGGAAGTCATACCTCATTGGGTTTCATATTCAGCACTTTAGTGATCCTTCCCTGCATTATAAGGAAGTGTGGATTATGTATATTCAGTGAAACCGAATGAAACAAATCGGTCACACTTTGATTGTTAGACGTGAAGCCATTGATCCAATACTTGGACCGACTATTCATATTCACCTGAAAACGGGAGACAAACAAACAGTTAATCAATGGTTCAGACAATCAATGGACACACCTCTCGAGTGATGACAATCTCGTCGAAATTCTCATAACCGGCCGGACATTGCTTTTTGTCCTTATTGTCAAACTTTATAGACACCGAGGCTTTGGTGACACCCGTCTGGCCATTCTTGTAGATGAGTTCGCGCAGGTTGTTGCACCTTGCTAAGTCCATGCGCGACAACCCCAGCACAAAGCAGATGGCGTCCAAAATGTTGGACTTTCCCGAACCGTTCAGACCTGTGATGGCGTTGAAGAGGTGGTCAAAGCCGTCGATCTTAGTCTCCGTCCCGTAAGACTTGAAGCCATTCAATATAATGCACTTTATATGCATCGCAAACACCACTGATTCGCACAACCAGTCAATCAATTCATTGCTTTAATTCAATTGCTTTTAATTTAATTGTTTTTCTTTCGGCAAATGTTTTCACAATTATTTAGTGTTGTTTTGGCGGCAAATCATTGCAACCATTGCTCGCAAACACTGTTCGCGTTTGCAATGAATGGGCGGTTATTTTAAAACCAATTCAACGCAGGGCTTATTGAACGCGAGGGTTGTGTCTCAATAGGAATATTTGTAACGTTGTCTATGAATGGCTCAATCAATGCCTTTTTATTTACAGTGAAATGCATTTAATTTGACACTAATTTTATACGCGATTTGAGTTTGAATTGAATTAATTGCTAATAAATGCAAACAATTGAATGCAAAGAGTGTTTAACGAGTTGTCGCCGATTGTGTTGTTTGTCATAATTAACGGCATTTTATAATACAATGAATTGCGAGAAATGAGTGATTGTTTGTTAAACTTTGCAAATATTGTCTCAAATTTAAACAACAAAACAGGCGTTTAATCGAAGTTTTCGTTTTGAAAAATCACTATTTGTTTGCATCACAACTGATCCCAAGAGTGACCATTCATTGCGAAATTGTCCGCCGAATATGAAACCCAAGAAATCTGTGACACCGAAGAAGAAGACGACGACAGCGGCGAAGAAGCGGTCGTCGAGAGCGACGCCGAAGAAGACGCCCAAAAAGACTGGGAATAAGTCTTCGGCCGTAAACACAACTCCCAAACCGACGCCCAGTAAAAGAGGTCCAAAACCACTGCCAAAGTCTCCGATCTCTGATTCGATGAGACAAATGACAATCAAAGACTTCTTCCAACCGTCGCAACAGCCGGTCCTCAAGAGTGGACCCATTTGTGTCCGAAATCTAGAAGGAGAAGCGTTTAGTGAACCAGAAGTGGTTGTTCTCAAACACCAAACCATTGACACCAATAGGAGAGTCACAAGAGGTTCAAAGGAGAGGATTGAACTCCCATTCAGTCCTATCTTTGGTCCACAGAAAAGGAAATCTCCGCGAAATGCTATCAATAAAACTTTGGATAAAACTAATGGTTTGGATGAAAGCAGACAAACAAACGATTTGTTGTACAAAACGGCTATTGATATGACAGACATCGCAGACACGACTCAATACGTGACCGCAAATGAGTTTCAACTGTCGGATGAAAGTATGGATCAAAGCTGTCATTCTGTGAAACAAAAAGTATTAAATGAACGCAAAAGTAATAAAACCGTTGAAAATGATTGCGATTCAGAGGAAGAGCTGATACCAGTGTTTAAACAGCCATTAATTGTTGAAAAAGCCGCTCAACACGTGTCGAAAGAAAATGATGGTAAATATGTGGACAAAGAGAAGCAAAGGAAATTGAATTATCTCTATAAGAACATCACCCGAAGACAAGTGGATAAACAAATGCTTGACATTCCATC